AGGCGGCGAGGGTTGAGAATGATAAATGAAAACGAAGTGTTCCAACTTTTGTTAACAATAGATGTTGGGTCGCGGATCGGGTTAACCCGATATGCAATCAATTTTAACCCGATCCACAATTAAAAAATTGGCCCACTAACCCTCTTTACTTTTCGCAACGTTTATTAAACGTTGCAAACGTTCAACCTTTCGCAACGTCTAATAAACGTTGCGAAAGGTTGTCTTTCGCAACGTTNAACTATCAAATGTTGCCTTTTATGTATTGCAAAAGCTCGTTTTTGGCGTAGTGTTAGTTTGAGACTCCAAAAGAATCAATATTGTGTGAAATGAAGGGATAAACGTACTATTACTAGTAACTAAATAAAAAAGAAACCTACGAATTTTTTAATAGTGTTTCTTAATTGGTATACTGTACTAAACTCTTGTGACCGTTTCGGTTGTATTGAACTAGAAGTTCAATAACTCTTATATTTTATTATTTGAAAAAAGTAAAGTCGTACGACTCTTTACATAATGAGTTCCGTGAAGACCTTGTGAATAGATAAATTATGATGTGCTGCATGTAATCATAAGTTTTCATTTTATTAGTCTCATAATGCATGGAATTTGATTTGTATATAATAAATGTGATTATAGTCAATTTATCTTATAGAGATTTAATACTATCTTTGGAATATTTAATATTCCTGAAGCATAATTCAAGTGATATTATCATGATGTGAGTAAATACAACTATATTCTTTTTTCCTTGATCAGAGCTTTGTCTCTTTGGATTTTACAGACAAGGTTTTTAATGAGACTACTTTTGTAAAGTACTTAACTGAATAATGTAATATTTTTTTCGCGAGGTTTTTCCCAATAAGGTTTTAACGAGACATATTCTTTGTGTAATGAATATCCAAAATCTAAAGGACAATTTACCCTCAAAATAATACTCTAATATGTATGAGACTCCCCAAGAGATCAATGTAGCTATTTTTTGAATCATCATGTTATTAAAATAATAAAAAATCTATAAATATCTCGTACGAAGATGGTATTATTGGAATAATATACAAGACAACA